ACGCACGCACGCACGCACGCACACACACACACACACACACACACACACACACACACACACACACACACACACACACACACACACACACACACACACACACACACACACACACACACTGAAAGCTACTCACCTGTATTTATGGGTGGTTAGGCCCGAGTTTCAAAAAGCAATCAAAAAAATTCAAGTGTACCCTATATTTTGAAAATGTTTCACACTGCATTCATTCAGCCCTTTTTGACATGATTTCTGATCTGTTGCTGGTCTGTGTTGGTTTGTGTTATTGTGTGACTTTGTTGTTTTTAAAGAGTGGTTTGTATCAACCAAATGTTCACTATTATACATTACATGTTATTATACACTATACATTATACTATTATACAAACTATTGAAACCATTGAGGCAGCGTAGATCAGTAAATACATTGTTCTGCAAGCCAAAATCACTTTTTTTGTCCAAAATATCTTTCGGCTTTGAAAAGAACATATTCATTTAACAGCTCCAGTTACTTGTCTAAAAGGGCTGGAAATATCGGGCACACATAAACTGATATTTTTATTTTTTATTTTAGCCCCTTTTTTTATTTACTAAAATGTGTTTTTTGATTGCTGACTTCTATTTCACATCTGATCTGAACCACTGTATCTCTTTAAGAAGAACAATGATTTTGATGTGAGATTACATATGAAGTACAGGAAGATGAACCCACAGCACATGCATGCATGAATACAGAACATTAAAGTAAGATAGAGTTGGGAGGTGGGAAGTAGTGGAGTACAAATACTTCATTACTGTACTTAAGATTTTCTGGTATCAGTACTTTACTCCACGACTTTTTACTTTTACTTCTTACATTTTCAAAACAGGCTGGTTACTTCATATCTGTGTTTGGTGGCGTGATCATTATTATTTAGAGTCATTGCGTGCCTATTGATTTGAACACGATCTGTGTATCCATAATTTCCTGGTCTTCTCTAAAGAAGAGGGACCAATGAAAACGTTGTCATGTTCGCATGGAAACATTCATTAGCTAACAATGACATTATTGTTCTATTAATATAAAGGGAGGTCAGGTACTCTTTAAAACAGCTGCTAGTTATGGGTACTTTTTACTTAAGTACGCTTCAAAGCCTCTTTACTTTGACTTGAGTAGTCAGTACTTCTACTTTGACCAGAGTATTTTTAAACACGAGTATCTGTTCTTCTACTTGAGTGAAGGATGTGTGTACTTGTGCCGTCTCTGGATCTGCTACATGGTGGATAAGGCTCATTCCCAAATGAGGGGTCGCCTGTACAAACCTAAGTGATGTTCTCTCTAGGTGAATGTGACAGTGAGTCGCTCTGCAGGCAGTGAGGGCAGTGTGTGGGTGAGCTATCAGACCTCAGGAGGCACAGCGGTCAGTGGAGAGGACTTCGCTCCAGCTTCAGGGCGACTCCTCTTCTCCCCAGGACAGACCTCAGAACAGCTCACACTGCACATCCAGGACGATGACCTTCCAGAGGAGAGTGAGATGTTCCTGCTCAACATCACCGACGTAGAGCTGCTCAATGTCAGGTATCAGAATCAGAAATACTTTACTCGTCCCACAGCGGGGACATTTGCAATGTTACAGCAAAGGAACATACAAAGAATTTAGTAAGTAACTAACCGTTTATTGCAGAGTGGTAAGGATAGAGATACCTATATGAATTAGATTAAAAGATCAAGAAAGCATATCTAATTTAATCAAGTTTAAGTGCAACGTTTTAAATTAATTAAGATATCGTTGAGTATATTAGTACATTTTATGTGTTGGTATGTCCATAGTAGCTTCAACAGGTGATGAGTTACAGGTACAAAGGATTTCATGGAGTCACAGCTATTCTTAAAATATGCAATGTGGAGCTTTCAGTTAGTGTCCATGTTACTGCGTAGAGTTCTCTGTCAGTGACTCTCCATCCTGTGTCTCCCCCTGGTGGTCAGTGGTGTGGATTACAGCGTGAGGGAGGGGGGTCTCCAGCTGGATCAGCCTCCAGATATAGGAAACATCTCTTCTCTGTCTGTGGTCATACTGAAGAATGACAACGCTGAGGGGATCCTGGAGTTCAGGCAGGATTATCTCAACATTACAGGTACGTGTAGAAGCCCTATTTGGTGAAATGTGAAACAATCAACACTTACTTTTAGGTAGTTATCTGAATTGATGGTGTCTAGAAAATACTACAAGGTGGCACAACACATAATGAAATGGGACGGATTTACCTCGAACTTGTCATGTGTGTTTTTGGTTCTTTGGTGTATGTGTTATTCTATTTTGTGAGCTGGTATTGTCCCCTCATCTTATGTGTATCTTTGCCTGTTAAAAAGCGGAAAAAAACATTTGATTCAGAAAATAAGAGAGTTAATACAGTATATGTCGAATCCATGTTGCTTGTGGTTTTCTTCCTCCCAGTTGAGGAGGATGTGGGCTCTGTGTTGATCCCGGTGGTGAGGAGAGCGGGCTCTTATGGACTGGTCTCAGCTCAGTTCACTTCCAGAGGCCTGAGTGCGACCCCTGACCTCGACTTCATCCTAAACAACGACTCAGTGACGTTCCTCAATGGCCAGAATATCAGCTTCATCAATGTCACTATTATAGACGACCTCGACAGGTGAGACAACTTGATAACATTGGAACAAATGTCGAGGTTAATCCATAAGATGTTTATTTCTTTATTTAGCACTGTTACGTCCCGGCTCGTGGAAAGTAACATATAACCAGTTGAATTTGTTAAATAGGAAGTTGTTTAATGAAAGCGTGCACTAAAATTGGCAACAAACAGCCACAATCAAAACAAATGGCCACAAAGGCACTGGTTTAAATAAACAACAGAAGGAACTAAGGTAGACTCTTTAAATAACAAGTTAGCACATAAGCAAAATGACTAACAAACAAATAAACAAAAGAAAGCCTCACTTCTAAAGAAAAAATTATATTTATAATTATAAAACACAGCCTGGAGACAAATTAACCACAGTTAACGTTGTTCCTTAAATAAGCAGAATACAGGTATAAGCACACATATACAAACAACTAAGTTAACCACTGTTAACTAAACTAACACAGAATGTACGGAGCGAGAGCCGCGAGACGTCTGACACAGATTCAGACCTCTCCCGACTAACACGGTGCACACGGTCTTGTAGTTGTCCCCGGAAGGTGTGTGCGGGGATTGGAGAGTCGAGCCCGGCATGCTCCAATCCGACAGGAACACCGGCATCCAATGGCGTCGGGGCAATGGCACAGCTCATATACATATCACACACAGCTGCAAACACTTAGTGAAAGGTTAATGGGCAGATAGAAGGCGGCGGCCGTAACAAGCACACATACCCATTATCTGTGCTAGCTTAATTACTTTATCTAAACTTGGAGAGACATTTAGTTACATTTAAGACAGTACAATTAGCAGGTTAATCCTCAGCAGGTTACATAATTCTACAAACTGAATTTTAAGATGATCAGGCTTTACGTTCATATGCACAACATATACAGCTTAGTTGTTGACGATGACAAACAGTGCAGCATACAGTACAATTAATTAAAAAAGAAAGAAATTACACTATTGTGCGAGTAAAAATGCTGGAGTAAGAGAAATACCATCCATATTCAATGTAAATGTGCTATATTTTAATATTGTAATAGGTTTCTTAACATTAATTTGTTATCATTGTTTTATTTGTAGGTATGTATGTTTATGTACGCACCAAAAACACCAAGAACAAATTCCTCGTATGTGTTAACCTACTTGGCATTAAACTTGCAATTCTGATTTTGATATGTGCATATAATATTTAGAGTATAAATAAAACAGAATTTAAAATGAAACACTGTACAGGTTCATCAAATACTGAAGAGCTCCAGACACAGCGCCAACCTAATAATTGTTTTTAAAGCCTCAAGACTACATACTATTATATTTATATATACTATTCAATACTACTTTTTGTTCCCCAGTGAGTCTGCCGAGGTGTTTGAGGTCCTGCTGGTTGGAGCTACAGGAGGAGCAGTGCTGGGCTCTCAGCAGGTTGCAAGGGTTACCATCTCCAAAAGTGACTCTCCAAGTGGGGTGGTCCGTTTCCTGAACGAAAGCCTGATCACCGTGGCCAACCCAAACTCCACTCGCAAACTCTCTCTGGTTTTGGAGAGGGCAGGAGGCCTAGTGGGCAACGCAACTGTACGACAAACAATATCTTACATCACTTCAGTTTCTCTGAAATTCTTCATCATGGACTAATTCAAACTCGTGTTATCTTTTCACAGGTTGCTTGGATCATCCGAGGCCCTAACAGCAGAGAGCTCCTCCCCCCATTAAACACAGACATTAGAGAGCCTGTGAGCGGCTCCTTCTTCTTCAGCGATGGAGAGGAGGGTGTGCAGACCATAGAGCTGAGGATCCTTCCTCATGGGGAAGTGGAGGTGGAGGAGACATTTGTTATAGAGCTCAGCGTTCTGTCTGGAGAGCTGGAGGTGGATCCTCAGGCTGGTTCCATCACACTGAAGGTACTATTTTTTTTATAGCAATACACATAATAGTAAGATTGTCAATATTAGCATAAAACAAATAAGGTAATACAACAGGGATACATGGATATCAAATACATAGGGAATGCACCGTCATTGTATAACGCCTAAAACCCACCCCCTCCAGGACACCCTGTCCTCACTGTGCAGCTCCTTCAGCGACAGGCTGCTGCACCCCACCTGTCACACGGAGAGATACCGCAGGTCCTTCCTTCCTGCAGCGGTCAGACTTTACAACCAGCACAGCCCCTAGAGACCCCCCCTCCCCTACACTCACCACAACACAGACTATATCACCCCTTGCTGCTAAATACCAATCAAATATGTGCAATATGTGCTATATGTGCAATATATATATGCCGTTAATAACTGTGTAATTTATAACTGGCTGCTAATCCTTAGAACCGTTACAAGGTGTGTTTTTTTTGTATTTTGTATTTTGTAAATTGTGTAACTTGCTGCAGTTAAATACCATCATACTATGTGCAATATGTGCTATATATGTAAGCCATTAATAACTGTGTAATATTTACCTGGCTGCTAAATTCTAAGAACTGTTACAGGATTTGTATTTTGGAAAGTATTTGTTCTTTTACTTTTATTATATATTTTTTATTATATCATAACTTAGTACTTTTTTCTTAACATATGTAACATTAAGCTGTCTGTGGCTCTGTCCTGCTGTAACGATGCAAATGTCCCCTCTGTGGGACTAATAAAGGGATTCTGATTCTGAAAAGGTAGTTTTAGTCATGAACCAGTTAGGGTTGTTGAAGAAGGATAACACAATCTGATACCCTCAGCACTTTTTCCTGCAGGTGATGTAACGAGATGCACCCTTCTCACATTTCCTCTCTCCTGTTTGTCCCCCAGATAGAGAAGTTTGGAGACCCGAATGGAATAGTCCAGTTCACTGAAGATGCTCTCCGGGAGCGTGTCTACAATGAATCCACAGAGGCAGAGGGTCCTTTCAACGTGTCCCTGCTCGTCACACGCAGAGAGGGAGTCATGGGTAACATCACGGTGAGAACATCAATATACATGTATTTTTAATCAACCATACCCAGTATGAGTGCCTATCCCAGCTGAATTAGTTCATTGTGACCACTATTGAAGCATGATATTCTCTCTCCTGTCTCCTCCCCCCAAGACACACATACTGTGCACGCCATACTACACAAAATGTCCAAACCCATTATTCAGTTTGCCTCGGTGCCCTATTATCTATTTATTAAAGTCATAGACATAACTGTATTTTCTCTGTATATGTTACCCGTTCTTTGTCTTCACCTTTCCTGTAATCACTTAAATACTCGATAAAAAAAAGAAGTGTAAACACAACCCTACTTTCTCCCTCTCCTCAGGTGCATTGGCAGATCCAGAGCGACTCAGACACAGCGGGGGACTTCCTCGCCTCATCTGGCTCCGTGATGATCCCAGAGGGCCAAAGGGAGGCGGAGGTCGTCCTCAGTCTGATGCCTGACACAGTGCCGGAGCTGGAGGAGCTCTACACCGTCCAGCTCACTGCTGTGGAGGGTGGAGCTACTCTGGAGGCCAACCCAAACCTCACCAGGACACGCATCAGGTTTGTCATATTGACCTCCGGGTAGTACAACTACCTTAAGTGAACTTGAAATGAATCTCCCTCTCTCATCCTCAGGGTGCGTGCTAACGATGAGCCCTACGGTGTCTTTGCCCTGAACCCTGAGGAAATGTCTATAATGGTATCAGTGTCGGACTCTGAGGTCAGCAGAGCTCTGGTTCTGAATGTGACCCGGCATCAGGGGCTGTTTGGAAACAGCAGTGTGGGCTATAGGGTCAGTGGAGGGGTTAATGCAGTGATGGACATCCAGGAGATCCTCGGAGGACAGGCTGAAGGACGGCTGCTGTTCAGAGAGGGACAGAGCTTCAGTACCATCACTCTGCCCATCAGCAACCAGGTTAGGGTGAACGCAGAAAACTACAATGATTTTTAGAATATCAAAGTTCCTTTTGTTTTTTAAGCTCTCTTAAAGGTCACCTATTGTGCAAAATCCACTTCTTCATGTCTCTTCTACATCAACATGTGTCCCCTCTGTGGACAGAGATCCTGAAAGTTTCAGGAACAAAGATTCTCTCTCTTTGTGTCCTGATCCATTTCTATAAAAACCTGTCTGACAATGAGCTGATCAGATTTTGGCCACTTTATGAAGTCATAATGTTGTTGTGGCTTGTGTAACCATTAGCCAATCACCAACCAAGGTAACCCCCCCTCCACCTTATCACCTTAATCTCCTCCTAGAGCACCATTGGGTTCTTTTTAACCAAATATCTCTCAAAGGGGCGTGGGGAGGGGCTCCTTATTTTCATCTAAAGCAGAGTTGTCAAATTCAATTTCATCGCGGGCCACATTAGAATTATGGTTGCATTCAAAGGGCCGGTTGTAATTAACTTTAAGACTATATAAATATACATAGATAAATATATATAAAATAATGTATTATTTTACAATATTTCCTCTGCATTGGATTATTATATGGTAATAACTTCATAATTAACTACGTCTGAAAGCAGAAGTCTAGGGAAAATAATTGCAAGTCTCTTCAGTGTGCAGCTCACAAAATGAGATGCATTGTGGGACATGTAGTTTATGGGCAACGTGCTC